TTTATCTGCATCGTTTTGAAAGGTTAAAGTTGATATATATATATATATATATATATATATACACACACACACGTACGTATAGAGAGAGAGAGTCAGGTTCATATGAGAATAGTAACTAAATTAGAGAATAAGAATATAGTCGAATCACATGTGATTTTAGACCAAAACCACATGTAAAATCACATGTGATTTGGTTGTTTTCGCATTCTCTTATTTTGTTATTGTTCATGTTTGAACATCCTCTCTCTCTCTCTCTCTCTCTCTCTCTCTCTATATATATATATATATATGTGTGTGTGTGTGTGTGTGTGTAGGCTAAATCAAGGGAGAATCATAAAAAGGTTAATTTGAACAAAGATTGTGGAACAAGGTAACATTATTATAACATATAGCAAATTCAAAACAAACTGAATATTTAAGGTGTGTTTAAAGCACTACAAAGTTAGGTCTTATCAACGATAAACCAATCTGTGCAAATCTATCATTGATGCCTTGATCCGTCGATGATAGACTACAGACCAAAAGGTCGTGGATGATGGTATCAGCGACAGATTTTAGCAACGGGTCAGCAAGGTCGGCCTTGGTGGTGTGCCAGTGGTGCCGCCACACGGAGCCTCTGATTCCGGAGGGCCTCCAAATAATTTTTTTATTTGTAAAGAAATTAGTATATATCTTAAATAATACAATTTTTATCCAAACTGTCATGTAGCGCAGCGGGTAGATTTATTAAAGCTGTTCGAGTCCCGTTGCTTGTGATTAAAAGTTTTTCCTTAAACTTGGCATTTTCTAGAACAATAGTAAAATTGAGAGAACAAAACTTGTAAATCTCAATAATCATAAACCCCTTATATAGGAATGAGTTACAAGTACATAACTACGATATATTTCATTTCTAATCTAATTATGATATATTTATCTCTATCTGTACCATCATATCCTTTAGATGATGGTACATTTTGTTAATCGCATTTTGATACTAAGAACAACGATTAAACAATTAACACAGTAAAAATTTCAAACAGTCGGCTGTATATTGATGAAACGTGAATCACAGAGAAATGAGACAATGTACGACTACAAATGATATTGCAATTATTAGTCTAATCTAATTGTAGATCCTATATTCAAGTCTATAACATCATATTCAATACAAGAACACAGATTGATTCAAGTATGTCGACATGTATATTGATATTCAAATGTTTACAAGGTGTTCATGAGCTCTCACAATGATCTCACATAAACATGATATGCAACTGTTGTTAACCGCTCTTAACCGATTAAACTAACAGCAACCTATTTATACCAACAGATTACAAGGAAACAAACTAAACTACAAAGCTTTAAGACTTACACTATAAAGCATATTAAAACACATTTAGCACAAAGACTTGAATACTACATTTTTAGACTCAACAATCTTCCCTTTTGGATTCAAGTCCAAAACCAACAAATTCTTCAGATCTTTAAAACTTCAGTTTTAGCAGCAACGATCTTCATTATTCATTCAGAAATCTTCAACAAACTTTGACATATTTTATCTTTCAAAGCTTTAGCAATCTCCCCTTTGAAAACTCTTTCTATAAGTTGACTTTAATACAATCTTCAAAACTTCTTCAGAACTTTTACAATCTCCCCCAGTCTTTGACAATCTCCTTTAAAGCACAATTTTGAACAATCTCTCCCAAATAGTAATCATTTTCAACTATTGACAAGCTCTCTCTAAACTTGATAATATTTTTTTTTCCAGCTTTTAAGCAATCTCTCCCTTTGTAACAAACAATTATCTTCTCTGACTTTCAAACAATCTTCCCTTGAACATTATAGAGAACAGACTTGTAATCATCTTCAATTTTCTTTCAATCTCCCTCTTTGAGATAGATCAGAAATAATTTTCACATTTCCTTCCTTTCAATACTTTTCATTCATTTTATATTTACTCCCCCCTAACTTTAGAAATGACTCATTCATTTGATAACGATGGAGGAGGTAGTTGTGGTGGACGACGGTGGTTATAAAGGACGTGGAGATGGTGGATTGTGGTGGTGGCAGTTGACAACGATGGAGGAGGTAGTTGTGGCTTATGTAGTGAAGATAGTGGTAGTGGTGGTTATGGTGGAGGTGAGTTGGCAATGGACGATGGTGGTTGATGGTCGATGGTGGTCGTAAAGGAGGTTGTTGCAGTAAAGGAGTTGGAGGTGGCAACGGTGGTAGTGGTGGTGGCAATGGATGATGGTGGTCGGTGGCCGATGGTGGTTTTAGAGGTGGCAATAGATAGGTGGTGGTCGGTGGTCGACGGTGGTTGTGGAGGTCATGGAGGAGGTTGTTGCGGTATATGAGGAGTTGGAGGTGGCCAACAGTGGTAGTGTTGGTGGTAATGGGAGGTGGTGATTGGTGGCTGATGGTGGTTGTAAATGTGGCAATGGACGGTGGTAGTCAATGGTCGACGGTGGTTGTGGAGGTGGTGAAGGAGGTTGTAGTATAGGAGGAGTTAGAGGTGGCGAACGGCGGTAGTGTTGGTGGCAATGGAAGATGGTGGTCGGTAGTCGACCATGGTAGAGGTGGTGATGGACGATGGTGGACGTGGTTGTGGAGGCGGTGGAGAATGTAGTTGTTGTGGAAGAGGAGGTGGAGGTGGAGGTGATCGCTGGTAGCGGCAGCAGATGAAACTAGCCATGAAAACCATTAAAACAAATACCAAATTAAGGTTATATACGAAACTAGGGTAAATTATTAATAATTTAATTTCTGTCTCATTCTCGTCCCATCTTATTCCACCTTGTCCCAATTCTTGTTCTTGTCCCATGTCATGCCAAACGTAAGATAATGAGTACTTCTTCTGTCTCATACTGCACCAAACATGAGACAATGAATTTTATCTCGTCCTATACTATCCCCTCCCATGTACCAAACATAGCCTTAATGTTTAAAGTACTCATCATTTTCGGTGTCTTTTCTTAGTGGTTGGATTAGAGATGATGTTAGACGACCATGAAGAAAGATTGATTGAAATTTGCATAATAAAACTTTATTTTGATGTATGAAAAATAAAATTTCCAAATAAAAAATATATATAATAAATAAAATTCTAAATTGTTTTTAAAGTTATCATACGTTTTATTTTATTTTCATTTTTATAATAAAAATAAAAATAGAATACAGTTTTTTTATAGAAATTGTTTGTAAAGTTCTGATTATGAATAAGACAATTACTTTGTCACATATTAGGAAACTGAACAAATTCAGACATTGATGCTTTCAAACAAAGAGTTGAAGTCACAAGCTTAAGACTAATACTATTGCATTAAAGCTGATTGGGTGCATTTAAGTTTTGCTCAGTAAAACTTGTTTTATTATTAAGAAATTGAAGGGGTGCTTATTAGAGGTATTAAGTAATAATCAATATGAACGATAATAAAATAATCAGTTCGGTTTTTATATAATATAATCAGTTCATTCTTACAGAAGCTTAAATTTTTATTTAAGGTCAAACTCATTAATGGTAAATTGATCATCTTATTTGTTTTGTTCTTTATTACAAAATACTGAACAATTGTTCTATCTTGTCTTGTCATATTTTGTTTGAACACCAAACGCACCCTAAAGACTTTCAAACCATAGGGATGAATTCCGTAAGGAATTCGCAAACCATGGAGACCAATTCAGTAATTAGTAATCCAACCATAAGGACAAAATATGTAATTTGTAATAAACTACAAGGACCAAAAACGTAGTTTACTCTATCAATTTACATATTTTAAGGGGGTTGATATCCCCACATCCTTACGTCACTTTTTCACGCCCTCCTCCTCACATACTCACACTCTCATGTATATATTAATATAAATTCAACAATCATATTAAATTCAAGAAATAAATGGATATCGGATTCATCGAATTGGGTTGGGTTAATATAATAGTAACCCAATACCTACGGTTTGAAAATTTTAGAACTCGATTAGACATCGGGTTGTTTCGGGTTGAGTTATTTCGTGTTGGGTTGGGTCGATCGGGTTTTTGAGCACCCATACTTATTACATTAACATACATAATTGTATATTAATTTAAAAAATATGTTTTTATTTTAACAAGTTATACCATTATAAATTGTCTCCTCCATACCTTTGAAATTTATTAATATTGAATATTTTTTGATTTAAATTATATTATTATA